CGCCGACCTCTGCTTCTTCTTCGCCTCAGCCCTTTTTGTCTTGGAGGCGGCCGAGATCGCCCAAGTCACCCAAAAAGGGCCTCTCCGCCGAGCTTCGCGCACGGAAGCAGTCGTCCAGCGCTCGTTCCTCCGGAGAGCGCAGAGTCTCTCTTCCCCCTCAACCTGCTACTCCGACTCAGCTCGTCGTTGGCTCTGCGTGCTCGTCGCCCAATTCCGCAGGCTCAGTTGCGCCGTCCCGTCCCAAGCACATCCCAATTGTGATTCCCCGTTATGTTCCCATAGTGCTCCCAGACAGTCCTCGAAAATCCATCGACAGCACTTGTTCAAAGCTTGTCTCGGGCACGTGCGCTGCGCCTTCAGACTCGCGGGCAGGCCGCCAAGCGTCCGTTGATTCAGGAGCACCGAAGCCCAGACATGTTGCTATAGTCATTCCAGAGTGGGCGCAACCTGTTCAGACATTACCAGACTCTCCCGCGCAGACTCCGCGCGACAGTCCGCCGCCAGTGCTACCTCCCATCCCGCCGCAGTCGAGCATACCAGAGATCATCCCCCCAATCCGTACAGACTCTTTTCGCCAGGACGACTGCGACAGGAGAATCCAAAAGATGGATCCAAGTACGTCGGAGCCGTCCCCTTCCCAGGGATTTCCCGACAGAGATTTCCGAAGCAACTCAAACGCCTCCTTCATGTCTCGAAGCCTCAACAGCAGCAGCACCAGCCTCAACCAGGTGGGCAGAGAAGAATCCTCCGAACCTAGACGTACTGCGCCGACATCATCCGGACCTTCACCGGGGATTGGCCAAACCGCGGGTGTGGGGACCCCCTCGCAGTCAACCTCTGGCTTGTCAGGCCTAGTGTGCAACGTGCACAGGACGACAGGAAAGGAGCCGCATCCCTTGGTGGGGGCGACAACCACCATCCTCGGGGATAAGCTCTACGTCTTTGGTGGAAGGCGTTTATCCCGGACGCGACCAACTCTGACAAACGACCTCTACGAATTGGATCTCATTCGCCGGAATTGGACCAAATTAGAAACAAGAGGAGATGTGCCACCTCCACGATATTTCCACAGTGTATGCCCATTGGGCGACTCAAAACTCGTTTGTTATGGAGGAATGTCTCCAGCAGCATTAGCAAACGGCCAGCCGGCATCGGCAGCCCAAAGCGCGCAGGATGCGCAGCCCGAGGTTGTCGTCATGTCTGATATCCACATCTTTGATGTAAACTCCCGCACTTGGACAAAGATTGAGGCCACCGATTCGCCTCAGGGTCGTTATGCTCACTGCGCTGCCATTCTCCCCTCGAGCGCCGTCTTCGCCTCGACTAACGCTACCCTCTCGGCCATTCAACACAACCCTGCTTCTACGAACCAGCCCAACCAAGGATCCATTGGTGTGGACTTTGACGGGACAGGAGGCGCCGAGATGGTCGTCGTTGGCGGGCAAGACAGCGCAAACCACTACATTGAGCAAATCAGTGTGTTCAATTTCAGGAGCTTAAAATGGACTGCGACTACGACCTTGGGGCGAAGCTGCGGTGCTTATCGGAGTGTCGTGGCACCTCTTACAACATTACCCGCTCATTCAATCGGAGCGGGAGCCAAGATAGAAGATATTTCCGGACAAGAGGTGGAATCGGAAAACACGCAGACTGGGTCTTCGATGCTTATCTATTCGAATTACAACTTTTTGGACGTCAAGCTGGAGCTTCAAGTAAGATTGCCGGACGGCACGCTGACCGAGAAGTCCATGCACGGAACGTTTTCGCCTCCTGGGTTACGATTCCCCAACGGTGGAGTCATTGGAAACCATTTCGTCGTCAGCGGCACCTTTTTGACATCGTCCAAGCAAGAGTACGCGCTGTGGGCGCTCGACCTGAGAACATTAACCTGGAGCCGCATCGATGCAGGTGGAAGCATTTTCAGCCAAGGAAGTTGGAACAGAGGAGTGCTATGGAACCGGCGCAACGCTTTTGTCATTCTCGGAAACCGGAAGAGGAGCCTCGTCGAGGACTATAACCACCGTCGCATCAACTTTTCCAACATTTGCCTTGTCGAGCTGGAGGCTTTTGGACTCTACGACAACCCCCGCAGGACAGCACCAACCTCTGACTATGCTTCTGTGAGCGCGGCATTCCGACAAAAGCAGTCGGAGCTGGTCACTGGAGGAAGACCACTATTGTCCGCAGCGGAGGAGTTAGGCGCCATGGCGATGGGGTTGCGGGAACTGGCAGACATGGAGTTTCTGGCAATAGGAGGAGAAAAGATTCCCGTCAACTCGCATTTGGTGGCTCGACGGTGGGGACCGTATTTCAATCAGCTGCTCCGCGAGGGCGCGGTTGCATCAGATCCAGGCTCCTCGGACGCCGCGACGCTGCGACCATCGACAGGCGGCCACCCTTGGCGCAATTCTAGCATTACGATTACGCCGTCGATAAGGACTGCAAGCATGGCGCTGACTGTCACCCCGTCCACTGTCGGGAGCACGGGCAGCAGCACCCTTACCCCATACGATCCGCCGAACGCTGAGAACCCCAATCCGACCTCACGTCCTCGGACTCTCTATCTTCCTCACACGCATCTGACACTGCAAGCACTCGCCCACTATCTTTACACATCGTCACTACCGCCACCCAATTCTTCACTTTGCACTCCACAGATCCTCTGCTCGCTCCTCCAACTCGCGCGACCATATCGCGTCGATGGACTTCTCGAGGCCGTCATTGAACGCCTCCACTTGCGCCTCGATGGTCGCAACACGGCGGCCATCTTCAATGCAGCCGCCATGGCGGCCGGAGGCGGCGATTCAGTAACCTTCTTCAACGGCGTCACTGCCGGCCTGCCCAGCGCCGACGCCCTCGCCAAACTCCGTCAATCTTCCGTTTCATCTGAAGCCGACGACCACACGCTCGTCAGCGGGCCGCCCACTTCGAGGCGTCCGTCTTTGCACCCATCTGCCTCCTCGGCCAGCCTCACGTCGAGCGCAGTTGACCCGGCCCAGTCGCGCAAGGCCAGTCTGGCATCCAACACGCTCGGTGCGTCGGGCGACGTGGACGACTCGATGCGCGCGCTGCGCATCGACACGGACATTACGTCCAACGGGCCGCTCACGGACGACGAAGGCAGCAACCACAGCGCGTCGACCGAGACGTCGGCGACGAGCGACTGGGCCAGCAACACGGGCAAGGACCCGGCCATGATGATGGGCGGCGACGACCGCGAGGTGTGGGCGGGTGAGATCAGCGCCGTCGTCGGCCTGCAGAAGCGCGGCCTCCGCGGCCTCATGGAGGGCCGTCGCATCCGCGAAATGGGCCGCGGCAGCGGCATGTCGAGCCTTGGGCCCGGCAGCGCTGGCGGTCCGCGCAGCGCGGGCATGGCGTCGACGCCCGGCAGCGGCGGTGCTCAGCGCGGCCACCAGGGGTCTGCTTCGGCGGAGGGCTCTGGCAGTGTTGATGCTGGCAAGGTCGGTCTGGGAATTGAGGGCAGCGGGAGTGGGTGAGGAGGAGAGCATGACTACGTGGATGCAGAGGGAATGTACACGCGCAACGCCCCAAGCGTTGGAGCAACATCTGTAAAAGAAGCCTGATCGGATGGGTGGGAAGAGCGGGTGGATTGTCTGATACAACCATGGGCACGGGTGTCGATTGCGCCCCCAAAGATCTATTTTTCGGATTTTGTCAGTCAGCTTAGTTAGATGGTTGGTTGGTTGTTCGGTTGCAAATGGCGGGCAGGCAGGCAGGCGGGACGTTTTTCCCATTTCCCATTTCTCCATTTTCTCTTCCATCTTCTTTTCTTGTTCTTCCACTTTTTTCTCTATCTCTCTTGTTGAAGTGTTGAAGTGTTGAAGTGTGTATGCCTGCCATGTGGTCTCGTTTCGTCTCCCTCTTTTCGGACTTGACTTGAACAGTAGCAGCAGCGGCAGTGTCAGCAGCATGGACGGGCGGACGGCTGGTTGGTTGTTTGGCTGCATGATGGAACGGATGTGTGTATGGATGATTGGAGGGCGGTTTCTTCTTATAGAATGGGTCAGTCTGTGTTTTGGGAACGTACCTAGGTACGCAATCGAGTGAGTGAGTGAATAGTGGATGCTGCTTGGGCTGTGGCCGAGTTGATTGAGTGAGTGAGGTGGCCGCGAGCAGGCAAGTGTGTCGGATCTTCATGTATTAGCTTGATTCGTTCTTCGACGTCTTGACTTCTTCGACTTGATCCGTTGCGGACTTGGTGCGTCGTCGTCGTCTTGGAATCGCAGGCGTCGGAAAATACAAGATGTCTCTGAAATCTTTCCGCGTTCTTACTTCTACAAAACCAACACCAGGTGGCCCAAGAGTAATCCACAAGCCCTCAGACCAAAGCACTCGTCGCTACCATCACGCATTTCCCCACACAACCCATGGAAGCCAGGCTTCCCTTGCCCATGTTCCCCTCGAAATATCATGTCTTGAACTCTGTCCGCCCGTGAGTTTTGGCAGCGAAAGTCCCACCCTGAGTATCGCACGTCAATAGTAGCTCCGCCACGACTTCTGACCCGTGGAGAACCTTTGATAATAATAATAACAACAATAATAATAATTTCTGCGAGCAAGTCAAGTCTTGCCGCCCGCTCGATTCCACTGCACTTCAGCCGCATTCCATCCATCGTTCAATTCCAAAAATATTCCTTCTCGTTCTGCGCTAATTGGATTCTTCTCGCCTTCTCCACATCATGTTCCATCGCCACACCGTCGCCGCGCCTTTTTGGCGCACCAGTCTCATTTGATCTTTTTCTCCGGCGTGGTTCGGGTTTCGAGCTGGCCGTAGATCAGACGCGGCTACGCTGCCGTCTCCAGCCACCATCGCAAATACCAACGCTCTGAATCAGATAGCTGACGCTCCAGCCCGCCTGATCTGTCTGTGACATTCCAGGTTACTCATCAAACACTCTCCGACGGCTTCAGATCTCGATCTGCAAAATACAAGCCTTGATAAACTCCGCTAGACGCCTTCTCTCAACAATCAACGATCAGGTCTTATGGTCTAGTGGTATGATTCTCGCTTAGGGTTCACCCTGAGTATCGCTGATAACAGCTGCTTGCGAGAGGCCCCGCGTTCGAGTCGCGGTAAGACCCTTGTTTTGCTTCCTGAGACGCTGGGAGAACGGTGTCTTTGAAGAGTCTTCTTTTTGCTTGTCCACAGGCCACGCGGAAGTGGGGAACAGGCCCCAGATGGACCGTGCGGTGATTCGATGATCAGGGACCTGCTGGCTTTCTTGGATGAACTTTTTGACAAAGCCAACCACCCGAGCAAATACACGTACGATCAGAGGTGTGGCGTTCGGCTTTGCTCGCACTGAAAACGATGTTGCTTGCTAACCGGTCTGGTAGACGCCACGTGGGCCGAAAAGGGCGGGCGGAGCGAGTTCGGGAAGTTCGACCCCTTTTACAACACGCTCCTTGGTACAATTACGAGAAGCTCAGCACCGGAAGCTCCTCTATACAGGTCTTCCATCTCGCCGACGTAAAAGTCACAACAAAGCCTCGGGCCCAAGAACAGACATCAACGTAGTCTCTGCACAGACCAGCCTTGGCAATCCTCCTGGCCGAACGCGGCCTGCACCGCTCGGGCCGAGAATCCTAGCTTCCCCACTCAGGGCAAAAAATTTTGTTTGCGTCCACCAACGCATGTCGTCTCCTGAGCAGGATGGTACAACGCATGGGCAAAAAGAACGGGTCTTACCGCGACTCGAACGCGGGGCCTCTCGCAAGCTGTAATAGCTACTCAGGGTGGGCCCTAAGCGAGAATCATACCACTAGACCATAAGACCTTGGTGTTGTCGATCTGAATCAACTTTGATAAAGGACGGCTCGGAGAGAAGGATTATGGCAAGGCAGGACGAGGCTCTTCCATTCAAGTGTGTCTTCAGCTAAGGCCATCCTGGAGGGAGGGGGGCCTCGAGCTGTTACGTTGTGTGGTATCCGAGACCTAGGAGTCATCGCAGAGTCGAGTCGCCAAGTTGTTGCGGTGCTGAGAAGCAGGTGTTGGTGCGATTGGCCGAAGAGGCAAAGGTCCAGCCGAAGCGATGACTCGGGGGAACGCTTTTTCCAGGGTGGCCTGGTTCTGCAGTGGAAGTCCCAGGTGGTTTCAACGGGCCTGTTCATTGATATACCGCTTCATCATATCAAACTCGGTCTTGCCGTTCTGGTTACGATCAGTCGTTGGCCCAGTGGCGGAGGGGCCCGACAAGACTTACCGATAGCAAGTACCTAATGTGTGTCTCGAAGCGTATTAGATGATGTGTTCCAAGAGCGTCCAATCGTGTCTTACCAGATCCGTGACGTGTTTGTGTCTTTCAAACTCGGTGCGGGCATACTGGCGCAGTTCGTCTCGAGTCGGCGAAGGTGGTATTTCTGGATTGAATGAGCCGTGTGCTTCCTTGAGAAGGGCGACGGGGTTGGGCTGACTGTGCAGAGCTCTGACAATCTCTCTCCAGAAAGATATCACACGTTGTCTCTGGAGGAACTGAACGACATTAGTGGTCTGGACTGACAACGTTGCGGACGAGACGGGCTCACCTGGTCGAGGCTGAGAAATGGGCCTTTACCAGGCTTCGGCAGTTTCGAAGAGACAGAAGCGTAGGAACGAAACTGGAGCCTGATAGCGCCAAAAGTTCGGGTTATCATGGTGCTTGTGATGGAGATGAAGAGTAGCGGGGGAGTTGTTGGTGGAAGCTCCCCACATCTTGTGGGATGCAGTTGCTGTCATCGGAAGTCCGTGCGCAACCAGACCAAACGGAACCCCGGCCGTCTGCCCTCGACGCGACGCGTTAATCTCTTGCATCTACAATTCGCGCTCCCATTCTTCTGTCCACGCTTCGATCGAGTCCATGCCTTCTCCAGGCCTCAAGAGAAAATTCAAGCAGCTCAGGGAAAATGAAGAGATCATCGTCAAAATCAATTCTCTCGCACCGGAGGAGTTCCACGACCGCTTCTTTGGCGCCAGCGGTTCGCTTTGCTTCAAGGACTACGACTTGACCTTGAGACACGTTGAGGACATGAGCAAGGCAGAAATGACAAATTGCATCGATCTCATTGAGAAAACATCACTGGCAGATTACAAGGCCTCGGAGCGCGGTTGGAATCCAAAGCAAAAACTTGCCGAAATGAAAGAGGACAACATGCAGTACCTGCTTGTCCGCAAGAGACTCGATTTTTCGGTCCACAGCGACAACCCTCCGAAGATCACGAGCCAGGAGTCAATTTCTGAATCCCATCGCCAATTTTCCGAAGACGACGAGTTTGCAGGATTCGTCTCGTTCATGTTTACAATCGAAGACGACCATCCCGTGGTCTACATTTATGAGATCCATCTCGATGACTCGCATCGAGGATGTGGCCTTGGCGGGCATCTCATGAATGCAGTAGAGCGCTGCGCCATCGAAGGCAAGGTAGACAAGGTAATGCTCACTTGCTTTCGAAAGAATACGACAGCACTCGCGTTTTACACCAAGTTGGGCTTCGGTGAGGACGAGTTCAGCCCGCCTCCCAAGAGGCTCAGGGGTGGGAAGATCAAGTACCCTTCATACATGATTATGAGCAAGAGCTTGTGAGAAAGTTTTGCCCAGCCTCCGGGACGCTCCCAGGGTGTGCTGTATCATGAAGCCTTCACGGACAGGATTTCTTGGTGAGATTGTTGTTCAGCTTGAAATAACTGCATGATACTCATGTGCTGCAGTCCACCTGGCTTGCACACACTGGTATCTCCAAAGTCCTTGACATGCGACTATCAAGGCGCCTCCTAGAGACAGCTACCAATATCCGAGCAAGCGTCTCGTGCCCATGCTTGAGACCATCTACAGTTCCTTGGCAGATTCAAAGTCACCGTGCAATGGAAAGTTATCCATAGCCCCCTTTCCAGCATCATTTCCTTCGTCAGCATGGAGATGATCTAGAGCCCAGGTGCCTGCGTTGCGCAGCCTCTGATCATTGTCCGCCATTTCCTTTCGGACATCCGGCAATTTGAACTGGCTTTTGTATCGAAGCGTTTGGGCCTCGGGCATCTTCGGCCTTTTGCCTTCCTCATCTGAGAGCGCTGGTCAGCCTTTGCTACACGAGAGCCGGTCGTGCGGAGACATACTTCGCAAAATATCACGGTTCATCTGCGCACTCAGATAATTGTGCGCAAAGATGGTCTCTCCATCCTCGAAAGTGGCACGTTGGTCCGCATACCAATCCTCATCCCATGGTGCTTCGCGCTGAGAGCCTAGGACAATGGCGTGCCGGGCATCTTCCTCTTCGCCATCTTCATCTCCGTCTTCATCTTCGCCGCCTTCATCGTCGCCTCCGTCAGCCTTGTGGAGAGCATCGGGCCGTGGACGGTTTCCATTGCCATCGTTACCATCATCTCCATCGGTCCCGCCACTGCCCCCAGCAAGACCACCAGAATGCCCTGGGCCATATCTGCCAGTTCCGCCGGATGAACGACCGCCGTGGCTTCCACCACTATTTCGACCATGTGGAGCTTTCCCTCCTCTTGAGCCCCCTGCTGTGGTCTCCCTCGGCGCAGTGTGAAGATTTTCGACGTTGATCCTGATTGGCAGGGTGAATTCTACATTTTCATGTGGATTCTGCCCTTCTTGATCTTGATCCGAACCCTCATCAAGTTGCATGGCGTCTTCTTGGCCCACTCGCCCCTTAGCTGTTGTAACCATGGCCATGACGCGGTCGACCAGGTGTTGATCCACTTGTTCTTCTCGCGATGCCTTCTCCAGCAGAGATTCGATCTCAACAAGGCGTTCCTCAAAGTCGAAAACGTCGGCGTGGTCTTGATCGCCAAGGAAAGCGGCAGCACGACGCAGCCTGTCATTCAAGTCCTCCTCGGGCGAATAGGGCTTCTTGCAATTGGCCACCATGCCAAGCTTTTCAAGCTCCTTCAACGGCTCCTTCTTTATCGGCGGCGTCTTGAGCGCACTGGGACCCGCGTGCAGCAGGGGAGCTTCGTCCTGGAGGCCCATGACCGCTCGGCCAAAGGGCCACGACGAAGCGGCGCCAAAATCACGTCCGGCAGCCATAGCGAACAGCGGCGTCTTGGGGTATTCTGTTTCGAGCGGCGATATGGCATCGAAATGGACGTGCAAGCGAGACCGATCGTGGGTGTGGCGCATCAGAGAGTCCGTAATGCGCGTGCGCGTGCGGAACTGATCGTCGGGGGACCTGGGAAGTTGCAGATTATTTTTCAGTCATCCATCCACAATGCGAATGCCTGTGTTTTTTTTTGAGGGGCAGGGCGAAAGGGTATACTGACGACATGGCCATTACTGCAGTGTCCGGCATATTGGATGCGTGTAAAACAGCGACTGCGATCGGTTATAAGAATTGAGATGAGCGAGTCTAGATTTCGTCGATTGCAATGGCAGAGTTTCAGCTTATTCCACTTGCAAATCTGGAAGATGAATTGTGGACGGTGTGGTTGGGCAGGTTGGGGTTGATGATGCTCGTCGAGAGACAAAGAAGAACGACGAGCCCACCCAGCGACGCTGCAAACGGGAGTGGGTAAGACCACGGAGCACGACAAAGAAAGTCATGATATGCTTCATTCTTTCCAAATTGTCGAAAACAGGAGATACACAGGCGGACATCGAACGCTAAGCAAATGGCGACAAACATCCGATCTCTTTCAATTATCTGCCCGAATCATTACTGGAGTTTGATGCAAATGCAGTCATGCGCCAGGCTGATAACAGGCTCGGGGCAAGCAGCTTCAGGACCCGACTCTGACTAGAACTTTAGTGGTATCTCGATATCAAAGCTGTGCCAAACGGCAGACAAACGACGGTGAAAAAAAGTGCTTCTTCCAAAAACGCTCTCAAATGCGACCCGCCTGAAAACAGATCAGAAAACATTTACAACAAACTGCGCTTCTCGTTCGCACTCACCCTGTCCCTTTCAATCTGACTCGGAGTCCGAACGTCCCTCCTCATGCCCTGCACGTCTTCCTCAAGCCCTGCCCTGGAGTTGCCGTGCTCTGGTGTCTCCAGCAGCGGCAAATCCACCGGCTCGGCGGCCATCTCAAAGACGGCGGCGCTGTTCGGCGCGAACAGCTCTGCCCTCTTCTCGCCGTCTTCTCCAGCCGC